TCGAAGGGTTATGTATAATTACCATGAAAAAGTATTTGATGCCCGCTGTTGTATTCACCTCTGTTTGTCTATTGATATTAAGGTTCAATTAAGCTTAAGCCTTGTCAACAATAGTGTTGTTATCATTATTAACATTAATGCTGTTGTTTACTGCAGTTGACTTTCGTTATTATCATCATTACATCATCATCATCATATTCACCACCATCAAACATGCGTATAGATACAAACCAATTCTAGAAATATATAACTGAACAGAGAAATGTATGATAAAAAATAGGAAAACAACAACACTAATAATGATAATAATGATAATAATAATAATAATAATAATAGTAATAATAATAATAATGATAACAATAATAACAATAATAATAATAATAATAATAATAATAATAACAATAAGAATGATAATAATAATGATAATAATAATAATAATAATAATAATAATAATAATAATAATAATAATAATGACAATAACAACAACAACAACAACAACAACAACAAGCCAATATTACCACCTGTCCAAACTACAGGACAGCTCTACTCAATAATCTGTTTTGACCCGTATGATAACCAAGAGGTCAGTGCGAGCGTACAATCAGTTTAGAAATCGCGACAAGCTGTTATTTAAGATTTTGACAAAGAGCGAATATATATGACATTCCAGAATTACCCCCTCTATAAAGGGGGAACATCCATTTCATCTATTTCATCCATTTCATTTCATTTCGTCCGGTCAATAAAGGAAATATTGTCATTATCAACATCAATTTCGGCATTGTTATAGTTTGGTGCTGATATTGCTGAGTCTGTGTGTATGCATATATATGTGTGTGTGTGTGTGTGTGTGTGTGTGTGTGTGTGTGTGTGTGTGTGTGTGTGTGTGTGTGTGTGTGAGTGTGCGTGCGCGTGCGCGCGTGCGTAAACGTGGAAATGCGTGTGTGTGAATGAAAATGCGAATGTGAGTGTATGTATTCATGAGAGTATGTGTGGAGGTGGAGAAGAGGAAGGGAGACGGAGGGGGGGGGGGTAAGCGAGTGAGATAGCCAGCCAGTTATAAGCCAACACGGAAGTACAGGTAAATTAAGATGAGGTATTGATATTGCACGATACAACATGTATTCCGTAATATAGCTTAGTTTGCAGGCTTGTCTGAAGCGTAAATCGTGAAGATTCACCTTCTATCTTTGTCCTTGAGAGGGCCAAGAGTCAGCCAGGGTTGTCACTCTCTGATAGTATCGCTTCCACTTATGCTGTCCTGAATGCTGATGGCCCAATGTATTCTTTACAAAGTTGTGGTCAAGTCTGTTCAAACATATTCTTGGTAGCCTTAGCTCTGTGGTAAAGCGGCAGAATCACAACCTGACATTAATGGAAATCGCGCATGAGAGCCGGATTCAGGAGTCACAGACGGTGCTATGTATTTCCATGCCAAATGCAGTAAAATTATGAAGTCACAGGGGCATTCGTAATGGGTTATACACTGATACACAGACAATGGCCTATGGATAAAACGCAGAATTACATACTAATCACTTCAGATACCAAAAATAAGATAATAGGAGAGGAACAAGAGAAAAAAAGCAAGAAACAATAAGACAGGAGCAAGAGAAACTTGCGTCATAAAAGTGCAGATTCTTTTTAACTTTCAGCTGGAACTAACCGCACCGACACACAAAGAAAGACTAAGAAGAAGACGGAACATGTTGATTGCAGCTGTACTTTCTTTAGCATAACTTAAATGTACAGACGATTCCCCTTGCAAACTGATATATTGTGTATTTGTGAATGCATGTATCTATCTGTATATATGCAACACCTCTCTTCACGGACAATGGTCTCAATTATCTGCCATTTACAGTGGTAACCTAGGCGCATTCTGTGAAGAATGACTTCGGTTCGTCTGTTTTTTAACTCAGAGAGTGCCAGAGGTTCATAGCCTGTTGCTTCTGAATACCATCTGGCCGAGGGGGAGGATCTCGTTGCCTCTCTGTGAAGCTGCAGGAGGAAGGAGTTGGCGACACCAGTACTCTCCTTCCGAAGTAAACTACGGCTAGGTGGAATGATCATGGGACTAGGGGGCATACCCCTGCCAGAGACTGCTAGTCTGTCAGCAAGTTCGTTCCCTCTGATGCCAATATGGCTAGGGACCCAGTTAATAATGATTCTTCTACCCTGAGCCAGTATTCTTTGGGCTATTGTCAGTATTGTGGTCAGGAGGTAGATATTGTCTTTGGGTGAGCTGAGCTTGAGAGAGTCAATGGCTGCCCTAGAGTCAGTATGTATGACTACGTGTCCTTCCATTGGGGACTCGTGGGCTAGGGCTCCCATGATCGCAACGGCCTCTGCCTGTAGCGAGGAGGCGTTGTCTGGTACTCTCATGGAGCGCATGGCATCCCTTGCTGCGAAGCCGGCGCCTGCAGTGTGGTTGGCTGGACTTAGATCATATTTCCTGCAATGGATTCGTAGCACTATTATAATGGAAACAGCAATATGCAGTGGCATTTCCAAAGTGCAGAAGTGGAGAGGGGGCATCGAGACTCTAAACTCCCTCTCCCTCCATAAAAGTAAATTAGATCAAATAAGACAAAAATCATCACATATACTATTGTGATTAAGATATTAATGTATAATTCCACACAAAAAATTAAGTGAAGAAGGGACTGTCATTTGTATATCTAAACTAATGTAATGCTACTTATAGTAAACATGGATGAGGTTATTAAAGTATGCACTAAAAGTAATTATTGAATGCCATGTTGCTCGTGTCAAGTTATGCCCATGTAGCAATCACCATGAACAAGCCTACCATGCAACACTGACCTCTCCAGAGATCAAGGGAGATCAGACAAGAACAAAATATCTTCTTGCTTTATGAAGATGTCTATCCTGTGATCACTAAGGTGGGTCAAGCTGGCCTCAGATGAACTTAATGTTCAACGTGTGCAGGCATCTCTCCCTTTGGCCCAGAAGGGAGAGACCGACACCAAAGGTCAACTAGTCTAGCCTTCATTTTGTGAAAATGTGACTTGCTCAATCCAAGGTCAAGTTAAATTCTTGCCATGTGAAGAAAAAATATGTTTCACCCCAAGAAAGGCCTTGGTTTCCCTCCATTTCTGTAGATCTCCACTGGTGTGTAATTTTTTTTTATTCAAAATTTTCTGCCAAGTCAACACCTAAGATCTTTAGCAGAGTATTCAAAATACAGTGATAAGTGTGAGGCTTGGGGATAAAGGAAGTGCTATATGGCCTCAAAAGTCATATGGTGCTATGGTAAATTAGAGTTGCAAAAAGGGTTAGGAATGAGTTAATGATTAAGGTAAAGTTATAGGTGGTATGGCAGTAAAGAGTAAAGGTTGTTAGAAGGAGAAGGAGTTAAGGGAGTAGGAAGAATTATGACAAAGTACTGTGGCAAAAATGGCAAAAATTACTTTAATGATTAGGATAAGGAAAAGGAAAGGAGAAGAAAAGACCATGCAAAATTAGTTAAGACAAGGGCTGAGGACCAAGGTAGGGGACTGGTGTGTAAAGATTGCTTTCAGTGAAGGAGTAAAATGTATGCCGAGTTCCCCTATGACTCACCAGATTACTATAGAACCTCCAGCTTCTCAAGTAGACCCTACAGTTGTTATAATTATATAAAAAACAATACAAGCAGACCTGTTGCTAAGCTGAGAAACTTGTGATGTCAGTGGTCTATAACCTTTGCATGGATCTTAAAAATCATTTGATTATTTTCAATGCAGTGGTTCCTTTTGGGGGCCATGTATTTTCTCCAGGTCTGCCTCTTTCACCTACTTTTGCAGTAGTTGAACTATATCAGGTTAATAAAATTTCCATTAACATTTGCCATCTGTATTACAAATGAAGGTCTCTTACAATTAACACTAAATGTACATAAAAACTGGCATATACTACATAAATTAACAATAAAATATTACATGAATAAAATATCTACATGAATCACTGATTTCTTTAAATTAAAATGATTTTTGCATAATGATATACATATGAATTTGTGAATGTATATGCTCCTGTGAAAACATCAAACGAACAAACACACAAGCACACATTCACTAACACACACCCATCCAGACATACGTATACACAGAGCAACACATATAACTGATCTATTCCTTGAAAATGGTTATTGCTTCTATCACTCAGTAAACGACACATCTTGACATAACCTACAACACAGTACCAAGTGCTGCTTTTAAAAAGAGCAAAAGACATTTGATACAAATTCAGGTGATCGTAACTTTACTAATCTTTTGCTTGTACAATAAAAATATCTAGGAGCCTGAACTGAATTCATGAATGTCTAAGTTTCTTTTTAGGAAATATTAGCATATTCATTTACTAAATACATGGTTTGTTCTAAAATAAATTAATGAAACAATTATATATTAACAAAAAAACAAAACATATATCACATAAAATGTATCTGATCCATATTATGATTACTGTTTCTTGATATAAGACTCATCCAAGTTTAATAACTATAAAGCAGAGCAATTGATAGAATATTTTAAACAGTTATGAAAAAAGGAAGGGGGAAGGCAAGAAAAATATGAATGAGAAATAATGAGAGTGCGTTATATAAGGCATAAAAAGTGGAAGGAATGAGGAGAGAGATAGTAAGTTGATGAATTGAGGAAAAAGGAAAAGAAAAAAGAAAAAGAGAAGAGAAGAGAAGAGATGAAAAGAAAAGAAAAGAAAAGAAAAGAAAAGAAAAGAAAAGAAAAGAAAAGAAAAGAAAAGAAAAGAAAAGAAAAGAAAAGAAAAGAAAAGAAAAGAAAAGAAAAGAAAAGAAAAGAAAAGAAAAGAAAAGAAAAGAAAAAAGAAAAGAAAAGAAAAAAAAGGAAAAGAAAAGAAAAGAAAAAAGGAAAGAAAAGAAAAGAAAAAAAGAAAAAAGAAAAAAGAAAAGTAAAGAAAAAAAAAGAAAAAAAAGAAAAGAAAAAAAAAAAGAAAAGAAAAAAAAAGAAAGTGTGAGTCTGAGCCTGGGTTATTCATGACTGTGGACGTGAGCAGAGCAAACGAGTAACCATGTGCAAGGCATGATTCTGTCATGATGATATGTGGATGTCGGTTCCTCTTAGCATCAACCTTTCTAACCTTGAATGAAAAAAACAAAAACAAAAAAAAACACAGATAACATATAAGAAATATTACAGCTCTAGAACACACAACCATATAATAATGTCCATGTAGGATAGATTCTTTAATAAATAAATTAATCATACATCAAATCAACAAATCAATAAATAATAAGTCCATAAAAACATGCTATCTAATAACATGTCACTGTTAAGGATTAAGACTTTCCAAGTCAAGTATGCTATCACAAATTGCGTTTAACTGATCTATATATAAAATACTCTAGCCAAAAATGTCATGGCATTGTAATTAATATGTATGCTTTTTTTTTGAATAAGGTATTCATTTCATTGTCGGTATTTATATTTTCCAATAGAAAAACTATTTCGATAATCTGAAGTAATGGTATAAAAAGGAACTAAATACAGTACTCTTTTCAGCTTTGGCAACTAAATAAATAAACTAAACATGTAAAAGTCTTCAACACAAAGAGTATTCTGTACTATTTTAATTCACAAATTCATTGTGAATATAAACATGACCCTTAAGATCATAACTCGATGAAAGTACAATACAAGTTGCACACTATATACAAACTGTGAGGTATTAAAATTTAATACACACATGAGAGAGGAAGAAATACATTAAAAAATGTGAATAGATCTACTTTCTAAACTATATGAACCATATATATACTGAAAATATGAAATTATAATGCTAAAGGTAATATCTGCTTACCTTAGGCCTGTATGTGGAAATTCTCTATGTTGCCTAATGACAAACCTTTAACACCAATTAATCTTATAAAAAAATGATTTACATTTAATGAGAAAGAAAATGACAACTTTTTTTATCATGACTTTAACTACACACTGCTAATATTCAAAATCTGCTAACACCTTGCAAGCTACTTTAACTTAAGCTAGGTAAATTCTATGACGTGAATCAAGAATTTCTATTGTGTCAATCTGACAACTTAAGTTCTACCTAAAGAACACAATAACTGGGGTGGTATAAGATATCCTCACTAGCTGATCTATTTACTGGTCACACAAACTGTGAGGAAAATGTGTCATAGCTTTGTGTAGCTGAGAGCTGAGAAGACTGGCTAATGTTCACCTGGGGTGTTGGATTGGCTATCATAACAAGAGGATTGGGGTCTTCACAACTTGAGGTGATTCCATTATTACTATTTGTGGACTTGCCAGACATTGTGACTTCCACAGTTGCATTATGATCTGGATGAATAGATGATGGGGTTAAAGTTGTGGCTTCTGTCATGACTGGTATATCATCACTGGTGGTAGGAACCTGGTAAGTGACATAAGTCCAGCTGTGAGGAGCTGCTCCAATGACAGAGCCACCTGCAACACTAACACAGTTTCCAGGAAGGACATGACTTGGCAAAAGCTGTCCAGGTACCATCTGGCCTGGAACAATCTGGCTTGGTACAACCCCCACAGGATAAAGTGTACCAACTGATGTTGTGGATGGCATTTGTGCTTGACAAGTGTAGGTCCTATCATGGCACACCGTCATATCTCCTGGGTAGCCCGAAACTGGGGTAGATGCTTCAACCAGATGTACACTGACACTACTGGGTCGATTCATTCCTTCTTCATACTTATCACCTTCTAGACTTCCAGGAAAGTCCAGCTTGCTGCCTTGAGTGTACATATACTGAGTCATACTTTCTTCTGGGAGGCCAAGAGATGCTGCTAGGCTACTCGCCACAGTTGACAAAGCCTCAGCCTCTGATGATGAGTGGGAGTTTATGCTTGTTAAAGTTTCACACATTCCCTCAACACTCAAGCTCCTTTCTTCCATGCTCCTTTCAGGTACATTTTGTGGATCACTAGAGGTCATAGTTCTTTCCTCCTGTTGTTGAATGTCTGCTGTCTGTTCCCCTGTGCTTCCAGCTGAAGTTTGTGCTATGTTATGAAGAGCTCTGTGGTTGGACTTACAGTGTGCCTTCAAATTATATGATCGAGCAAAAGTCTGGGGACAATATGGACACTTGTGGCTAATGCTTGGTTTGTTTTGACATAACTTAGTTTGCATGTGGCCCTGCAGAGCCCCAAAAGAGCGAAATGCAACTCCACAGACAGAGCAAGTGTAATTATCAGCATTGGCATGTTGTGATCTGTGTTTCAGTAAGGCTGCTTCAGTCATAGCAACATGATCACAAAGATCACATTTTGGAAAAGTTATGTTTCTAGGTGTTTTGTTGTGTTCTGTATATAAATGATACGCCAACTCCAGCTTCCTTCCAGGTCTAAATCCACAAATGCTACACAGACGTGCCTCACTCTTACTGTGTACATCTTTCATGTGCTGTTGATAACTACAGTAATCACTAAATTCTAGGGGCTCATTAAGAAAACAGGTAAAACAAGC